ATTACGCTATAAATCTGAATTTAAAAAAACTTTGTAAAAGTGATAATAATTAAAGGACACACAATTAATTATCGGGTTATGTTGATTACAAATTGGTGTAGTAACGAGCTCTAATTCGATTATATTTTAACCGTACAATAATTTCATAAAAAATTAACAATTAGTGTTGTTAATTGAAATTCATTTAATAATACAGTAAAACCTCGATATAACGGATTAATACGAGGAGGGAGTCCGTTATAGCTAGAACTAACTAGAACTAGAACTAACACTAGCATTAGAACTAACATTAGAACTAGCACTAGAAATATTCGGGTTTAGCCGTGCGCCTCTTAACTTGGCTAAACCCGAATGTTTCTAGTTCTAGGTCTAGTGTTAGTTCTAATGCTTTACATTCGGGTTTAGCCGTCTTAAGAGACGTAGGGCTAAACCCGAATGTTTCTAGTTCTAGGTCTAGTGTTAGTTCTACTTTTCGTTCATTAAAAACATACAACAATCTAGCTCTGAATAATAATTAAGACTAGAACTACCGTCCTTGGTTTATACATTGTATAGATATTATAGACAACTCGAGGAATATCGGGAGTCTATAATAATACTAATAAGTTTATTGACAATATTTACAAGATTTACAATAATAACAGAAAAATATACATTATTCAATAACATTAACACAAGGTTGACAAAAGGTCAATTGTTCGCCAGAGGCAATGTTTTCAAATAAACCCAACCGGCAACTATGGGAAAAAAACAAAAACAAAAAAATCTACATGTCAAATAACAGAAAAAGAATAGGAGAGAACAAGAAAGAAAGAAAATGGGATTAACCGAAAAATGATTGGAAAAGACTAAATAAAGCTGTCAGATGAACAGGGGAAAAGAGAAGAAGCAGATGATATCAAAAATCAGTCTCAGATAACTGTAGAGACAACAGATAATTTCTTAGCGAAGTTTTGAATACGGAAAAGCTACGAGCATTACGCAATTCTGTGGGTAAATTATTCCACAGAGTTGAACTGAACTGCAGTGTACAGGTAAATTGGAGATTGAGAGGAAAGTATCTTGTATAAGGTAGTTAATATGCGAAAGGATCTACGCTTCTCAATGGTGAGCATCTCGAGATGGTTACGATATGGTGTTACATGGTCATACTTTCGCAGGTCGAAAATATAGCGCGAACAATTATTTTGTAACCTCTCTAATTTATACAATTTAACATCGGTATAGTCCAAATGGGGGAGAATTAAAGAGTAACAGAAGTTGCGACGAACAATAGGTGGAAGGAAACAACGAAGTTTGCGTAGGGAGTAGAAACAGAAATAAATCTTCCTGCAGACAGACTGAATCTGAGGCTGCCAGAACAATGCAGAATCCATCATCACCCCCAAGGTTTTAACTGTTTGAGAGAATTGTATGATGTTACCATTAAGTGTCAGATGGGTATTATTGATGGAGTAAATTTTTTTTAATTATCTTAGTAATACAATTTATGAAGACGGAAAATAGAAGTGGACCCACTTGGAACGATTAGAAAGGTATGATTGAAACCAAGCGACACAGCTCGGCGAAAAACCTACAGAAGATAGAATTGGTACCAAGCTATGATCAAATGCAAGAATCAAATGCTTTGCTGAAGTCAAGCAAAACCAATAAGATCAAACACCGGTCATCACAACCACGTCTAATATCATCAGTAATTTTGATAAACGGCGATGTCGTGTTATGATCTGGCAGGAAACCAGATTGAAAATCAGTGATAATCTTGTGCTCATCCAAATATCGCTGTACCTGCATATACACCCAGCGCTTTAGAAACTACGGAAATAATAGATATAGGACGAAAATCACTTACAAGGCAAGTATCAGAACTGTCCCTCACCGATTTTGTTGAAATTTGGTACAGCGATAGTATGGCCAAAAATAAGGTTTACGTATTTTTTTATACGTGCTAATAAAGCCCCTGGGGCGAGTTATAAGACTTGGAAATCGGGGCGAAGTATATATATTCGCTTATAGGCTGAAAACGAAAATAGCTATCGAAATGTGGTAAATGTAAACTGATATTCACTTTCAAAGAGCTTTCCATTGATATATCACACATATATCTGAAGGCTTCAGGGGTAAACTACCCCTAGTTTTTTCGAATATTTTAAAAACTACCCTGTCGATTTTGGCGATATTAGGTGTCCTTGTAGTACGTTTAAAAATATTAATGACGTGTTTTTTCTTATTTGCCTCTGACCATCCCCTGCAAAGTTACGAGGTACGGTAGATAACCCCTTTCCTTAAGAATAATGGTGGTAATAGTGGTCTCTCCTCTATATAGCCAGATGCAAACCAGGCGTATTTAAAAACATTAATAAATCGTGGGGAATACAACTGGTTATGCGTTAAGGATTGCAAATTTAAAATATTATCTCGCTGATGCAAATTGACATCGTACTGGTAGAGAATAACTTGATCAGAAAATCTTCTAATGAAATTTTTCCATATTCTAAAACCAAATAGAGACAGGTATAGACAAATATTTAAACTTAACATCCGACGGAGCTACTTCACTAATAATTTCAGGGCAGTGGCCACTCCAAGAATCCAGTAATAGTAATGATTTGTGTCTGGTGTTTGGGAAATAGTCATTTTGTAGCCAATTTTTCATATGAGCAGAAGTCAGTTTACCAGACTTTGATGCCAAAATGAATATGTTATCTGCTTTGAACATTGTATTTATTACCCTCGGTCCAAACGTACCAGAGGATTCTTTTAAAACAATGTAAAGAGGAGAAAGTAGCTTTTCATTTGCAGATATGATAGGTTGAATTGTGTAGCTATGTGTTGTCGATGACACTGACTGCACCACGCTTTCAACGGTTTTAACCCCCAAAACCTCTTTCAAATAAAAATAAATTAAATAAAAAAACTAAATTAACAATGTCGAATAGAATTTGTACAATTTTTTTTCTGTTGCTTTTTAACTCATTATTAATAAATATTTATATAATTATCCTAACTTTTGTGTTATTTAAATAGAATAAGGATAAAAAAGTTTTTTCTGTAGGAGTATGAAAGTTATTAGCGAAAATATATTTTCTACCCCAAACTTCTAACCCTTGTAGGTTCTTATAATAGTACTACCTAACGTATAAAAAAATCATCGTGGTAAATTGCACCAAAATCGACAAACAATTTTCGCAAAAAAGAATTATTTTTGGGGTGGTTTAACCCCAGCCACCCCTTAATGTCGTATAGGGTTTATTTTACTACGTAAATCTTAATTTACATCTAATTAATGGTTTTCTTCAAAATATTGTTCAAAAGTGTAACAGTTTATCAAATTATTCTTAAGGAAAGGGATTATCTACCGTACCCCGTAACTTTGCAGGGTATGGTCAGAGGCAAATAAGAAAAAACACGTCATTAACATTTTTAAACGTACTATAAGGATACATAATATAGTCAAAATCAACAGGGTAGTTTTTAAAATATTCCAAAAAACTAGGGGTAGTTTACGCCCTGAAGCCCTCAAATATATGTGTGCTATATCAATGGAAAGCTCTTTGAAAATGAATATCAGTTTACATTTACCACATTTCGATAACTATTTCCGTTTTCAGCCTATAAGCGAATATATATATTTCGCCCCGATTTCCAACCCTTATAACTCGCCCCAGGGGCTTTATTAGCACGTATAAAAAAATACGTAAACATTATTTTTGGCCGTACTATCGCTGTACCAAATTTCATCAAAATCGGTGAGGGACAGTTCTGATACTTCTCTTGTTAGACGAGTAGAACACTTAAGTTTAGGTATGGGTACAATATAAGCTAGTTTCCAAATAAAAGCGAAGGACGATGTTTCAATGGAGAAGTTAAATATATGGAGTAGTGGAGGAATGATTATATCCTAAATAGGAAGGAGCTGCTTAATGCTGACACCATCAGCACCATCACTAGTGAACAGAGAATGTCTACTAGAGCCTGGCGGACTTGGAATTCGTCAAACAACTCCAAGGAAAATCTGGAACTGGTATTAGCGGAGGCATTAATCTCGAAAATTGTTGATACCTTAATTTAATCGTCGAGAGTGATAGGGGATTCGTCAAAATAACTAGTCAGAGAATCACAATCAAAACTACGATGGTAAGAAGGAGATTCAACTACACTAAGAGAACGCATGGTTTTGCAGAAAGTATTGGGGGTAGCATAGTACGTAGAACGTGCCCAACAGCATGCGGCTGGTAGCCAACGTCACCTCAATGAGCAAATACTCGGCATTTTGTTGTAATCCATCAGATGAAGCAATAATATTGATGTTGAAATGATCGCGAACAAACAACGCCACTCCCCCGCCTCGTGAAAACTCCCAATCATTTCTCAGTAGACGATAATTTGGAAACGATAATAAAGACGAGGGAGGGCTTGAGCCATGTCTCGCTAATCATGATGATATCAAAGTCTGTGATTCAAATGTAACCACGAAATCAACAGTTTCCACACGAAAAATTACAGTCGAAACGCACCAACGCCGAAGCACGTCTTCATTCTCTGCGCCATATTTTTAACCTGTTTATGACTTTGTCTAACAGGTTAAAAATGATACTTGATGTATTAAATAGATAATTAAAGAAAACCAAGCAGGAGATTTTTGCCTCAATCCCGTTAGCAGTTTGAAGGATAATGCTTAATGTTCTCAGGAAGGATTGTGGGCAATAAAACCGCAATTCAATTGATTCTGCCAATATTTCGTATCTATTTCGATACTTCTTTTTTATTGCCCACAATACTTCCTGAGAACATTAATTATCCTTTAAATAGATAATATTAATAGTATGACTTAAAAATATTTTGTCATTTCCATCCGAAGTCCTTTCTAAGGAGATTTTACTGTATTACATATTTATTAATAAAAAATAATTTAATCATGTTTACAGTTTTTGATTAATTTTATATTGGTTTTATCATAATCTTAACGCAACTTATTCATAATATATAGGTCACTACGTACAAATAACATGAGAGATAATATAGTTTCTTCGCACCAGTTACAATTTCGAGTAATTTCTATTTACAAGGTAATATTTTTGGTGACGCATATATTTTTTTCTATAATTACTTCGACCTTTTTAATATAAAAGGCATCTTTCGTTTAATATTAGTACAAGTTTAAATTTCAAAGATGAAGGCCATCGTTTTTATTGTACTATTAATGATCGTCGTTAATGAAATTCAGGGAAGAAAATATTGCAATCCTAGTTTATGTGAAAGAATTAGGTGTTATACAGTTGAACCGGAAGTTTGTGATCCTTTTAGCGAAGTTTTCCAACCGGCCGATGGTAAATGTTTTTGTTGTGATACCTGTATCCCAAATGAAGGTAATATTTTAAACAAAATGTTATTATGAAACGCGCAAAATACTTTAAACAACATTAAAGACTGTCGAAGAAAACAAAAAATGGTAAAAACAAATTTTTGTTTTGTATTTACCACTTAAACGCCAACTGCTAGTAAACGTTGTGATTAAATCCTTTTGATGATTTTAAAAATATCGATTTTTACTTATTTTGTACATGAAGAAACTTTGTTAAAGTAGTTGCAATATTTCTAACGTTATATTTATAAAATATTTGTTTTCTTTTTTAGACGTTGGTCAAGAATAATAATGGATTGATGGACCACTAAATATTTACACCACCTTCCAATCTTCTGATAATGTCAAAAATAATGATAATAATTTTGAAATAAAACAATAAATTTAATTTTTTTTGATAAATTTTATTTACATTATTCCTGTAAAAATAAAAGAAGAGGGCTTGTTTATAGGAAAATTGATAAAATTAAAAAGATCCTTCTAACTGCTTTTATGAAAATTATGTAATGATTTATATATCAAATTAATGCTAAAACTCTCAACTATATGATGATCCATAATAATATGTATGTTGAATCTATGAAATTTCGAGATATAGGAAGATAACGGTATTCGCTTTAGCTTATTTTTATACGAAAAATGATGAAATTTAAAGAATTAATCGGACTGTATTTATAAAAATGATGTAATAAATTAATGGTACCACTATCTACTTTATGATGATGCGTAATAATATTCTTTTTTTAGTTATTTATACTTTTTTATATCTGAACACAATACAATATTTATTATTTTTTCGGACACTCACTGGAAATGGCCTATATTTCCTTATTACAAATCGTAAAGAAAAGTACTTCATTTCTTTATAGCAACCAAATAAACAATTAATTATTGATTAGAATAAATATTAAACGTACAATTATTAAGGTTAGAGAAGCTTATACTTGATGTACACTGTTGTAACTATAAATCGCCACATGTTAGTGATGATTTTGATAACACCTCCTGATGAACTCCTGATGAATCACTACTTTATTTTTTTTTGTTTGGTTGCTGTAGTGAGGGAAATGGCAGAAACGACAATTTGATTCTCGAGCTCGTCGTGTACTTTTTAAATAATTTCTTATAAAATGTAGGTAATTCATTTAAATTGAGTGTCCGAAAAAACTTCATGTATTATTCTTAAAGAAAAGTAACTTCTTCTTTACTCATCGCGTTTCTAATCGAGGCGAAGCCGCGATTCGTAAAGAAAAAAGTATACTTTCTTTACTTATAATACAAATAACTATTATTTAAGACACAACGGTATTGTCATTTTATTTTGTTATTGTCTAAAATACGTCACCCCGAAATTCCGAATCAATATGGCACATTGCCCCCTCCCTACAACCATTTCGTCCCTTTTGGGTTCGCTGTGGCGGAATCTACAGAATGATCTGTCTCTACATTGTGACGTCTTATAGAAGCATCGCTTATAGTTTCGATTCAGGAACTGCTCGTACAAAAGGTCCACTGGTATTTCTTGGAGGCTTCTAGTTCCAGCTTCTCGATGGACTCCAGCAAATGGTGCTAGGCGATGGAAGTGAATTTTACCCTTGGCTTTCCACGTGGTAATTTCTGGATTCGGTAGACAACATCATTAATTCGGTCCATGATGGTGTATGGACCTTCCCATGGGTTTTGGAGCTTCGGTGAATAACCACGACGTCTCTGCGGATTTTACTACCAAACTTGGTCTCCTGACTGGACTCCACCTTCAGTAGCCTTAACGTTATAGGTCTGCTTCATTATATCGCTAGCGGTCTGGATGCTTAAACGCACCCGTTCGTGGATATCATCCAACCGTTGGCGCAACTTGCTTACATAATCCTCTCCGGCAATATCCTGCCCTAGTGGGCACCCAAACATCAAATCATGGAGTATACGCAACTCGCGACCCATAACAATGCTAGTCGTCGTCTATCCTGTCGATTCATGTACTGCAGATCTATATGCCAGCAGGAACAAATAGAGTTGTTTATCCCAGTCTCCTTGATGGTTAGATACGACCTTGGCTAGATGTCGATTGAAGGTCCTGTTCATCCGCTCTACCATTCCGTCAGACTGTGGAGTGCTGTCGTTCTTGTCTTTTTGATGTTTAGAATCCTACAGACATTTTGGAAGAGTGCCGACTCGAAGTTTCGACCTTGGTCGGAGTGTAACTCCAGTGGTACACCGAATCTGCAGATCTAGTCCTTAACGGAGGCATCCGGTATTGTTGCGGCTTCCTGGTGTGGTAAGGCATAAGCTTTCACCCATTTGCTGAGTAGTCCATCACCACAATGATGTATTTATTGCTTCCGTTAGTCTCGGGGAATGGGCCAGCGACGTCAATGGCAATTCGCTCGAATGGGCTCCAGACGTTATATTGTCGCATTGGTGCTTTTCCGTGTCTCTGCGGCACATTACTTGCCGCACACGTCACAAACTTCCTGCACAAATAATAAAAAAATAAATAAAACCTTTCACTTAACTTGTTAAGAGTCTTAGTTACGCTCAGGTGACCTCCGGAGCTCTGCAACGAGGATCTGATTCCTCACGTCGCCACCGTCTGCATCTTCAAGTCGTCGTTGCAAAAGTCCGTCAGGACCAAATAATTCCATTGCGCCCAGTATGTCTTCACAGCCGGTGAGTACTTAGCAACCTCACTCCAAGTTGGTCTCCGGCCCTGCCTTTTCCATTCGATAATCAATTTTAGGTGTGGTCGTTACCTTGGTCGGTCATCACGCTCTCAGCATTCCAGTGGTCATTTACGACTGTTGTCCTGTAAAGTTGAGCTTCTTTCCATTCTGTTCGTTGGCAATGCTTGCAGTCTACAGGACATGGACTTCTTGATAGAGTATCAAAGTCGAACTCTTGAAGTCTCTCAATCCATCTCGCAATCTGACCCTCGGGATTTTTGAACTGGAGCAGCCATGTTAGTGCAGCGTGGTCTGTCCTTAGCAGGAATTTGCGAGCGTAAAGATATTTGTAGAACTATTCTACTGCCTTTATAACCGCCAAAAGTTCTCTCCGTGTTACACAGTAGTTGCGTTCAGGTTTCGATAGAGTCTTGCTGAAGTATCCTATCACCTTTTCTTGACCATCTTGGATTTGGGACAAGACCCCTCCCCAGGCCTACATTGCTAGCATCCGTATACAGTATAAACTTCCCATCTGGCAATGGCTAGCTCAATATTGGGGCGGTGGTTAGCGTACCTTTGAGGTGTTCGAATGCTTCTTGGCAGTCTTCACCCCACTGATACCGTCTACTGATCTGCTTCCGTCAGTTTCGTCAGAGGCTTGGCGGAGAAAACGTTGTAAATCCTGCTTGTTGCTGGGTACTGGCCATTCTTGGATGGTGTTCACTTTATCTTTATCCACCGCGACTCCATGACTAGAGATAATATGCCCCATGTACTGGACTTCCTTTTGACAGAGGTGACACTTCTTCGGATTCAGCTTCCACCCTGCCCTTCGTAAGCGCTGGAATACTTCCACCAAATTCTTAAAATGATCCTCGAAGGATTTTCCGAGAACAATAATGTCGTCGAGGTATACCAAACAAGTCTTCCAGGACAAACCCCTCAGAACAGTTTCCATCAATCGCTCAAATATAGCTGGAGCATTGCAAAGTCCAAACGGCATCACATTGAATTTCCACAGTCCAGTTCCCACAGTAAAAGCGGTTTTCTCTCAATCTTCTGGTGCCATTTCCATCTGCTAGTAACCACTTTTCAGATCCAATGTCGAAAAGATTTTCGATCCGGCTAAAGTATCTAACGTGTCATCAATTCTTGGAAGAGGGTAGCTAACTTTCTTCGTCACGTTATTAAGTTGACGATAATCCACAAAGAATCGCGTCGAGCCATCTTTCTTTTTAACTAGAACTACAGGTGACACCCATGGGCTGATGGATAGTTCAATTATTCCTTCCTTTGTCATATCCTGAACGATTTTATCGACTTCTTCTTTCTTTGCAAGCGGCAATCTCCTTGCTCTCTGACGAATCGGCTGTGATGTCCCAGTGTCGATTTTATGCTGGACAACATTGATCCTCCCCTTCCCTCCCACGTCAAAGATGTCCTGATATTTTTCAATCAGGCTGCTCAATCTTTTCGTTCGTGCATCTTCTTTCTAACGGATGCGACCGATACCAAATCGAGTAGCTTCCCTAGAAACAACGGAGGAGACAGATGTACAATATCCCAACATAGCCCCTTTCCTTAAAGTCAATGGGTAATCGTTGGCGTTCATTACCCTAACAGGAACCGTCCGAGCAGTACGTATCAGGGCTTTACCCAGAGCAATCCCTCGTCCGATGTCCTCGTCATTTGGCCTAGGCTCCAACATCCTGATTCTTCCTTCACTAGGCGTGCCGTTCAAACTGCCATCCAGAATTACTTCGCTTCGTTTTGGTAAGAAGGTATCCGTGGCTAAGATCACACGAATAGTCACCATTTATTTTCAGAATACCACGTTTTAAATTTAATTCGAAGCCTTCAGAATTCATGACGTCCATTCCAAGTATTATTTCGTCTTCGATGTCTGCTATCAGTACCGAACGTTTTATTAATGTACTACCGATAACGATGTTAATGTCCACTTCACCGTGGATGAATGCCGGTTCTCCTATTGCAGTACGGAGTCTTCATTTCGTCGGCCTAACCTTTACTGACCTGTATCCAACAGGAGCCGGTAAAGCTTTCCATTAACCATGCCGTCCACAAAAGCGCTGTTAACCCGATGTTGTAAAGATGCGACATTTACGATTTCTTTCGGGGCATGTTAGATACATGTTTACCCTTGTTATCGACCCGCTTTAGTTTTCCGCCGTCAATGGTTTGGACGCCTTGTCACCGTACTTTTTGCAACGGTTACGCACGTGTCTAAGCTCTCCACAGTTTCAGCACCTAATTTCTTTCTTCCTTCATCTAGCTGTCTAACGCGAGCTTGACTCTTGCAGCCTGTTTTCACGGCCTCCATCTCTAGTATGCGAGCTAATGCGTCAGCTATTTTTGTTGGGCATAAAAGCATGACTCGTTGTTGTATATCCTTATCTTAGAGTCCAGCGAGGAAAGCGGCCACAGTCAGCTGCTCTAATGTGTCTACACTCACTTCCGGCCAAGCTAATCTTGTTAATCGAGACACATCAAACTCAAATTCCGTCAATGATTCATTTATTTGCTGGTAGTGAGCCTTCAACTGGGAGCGATAAACTTGTTTTAGATGTCCACGACCATATCGCATTTCCAAATGCCTCACAAGGGAATCATAGTCACCTTGCTCTGCTAGTGAGAGTTTATCTAGTATCTAACCGCATCACCTCGCAAGGACAGTATCAGTGATATGGCTTTCTCGTTAGTTGATCACTT